AATTTGAATTTAAATTGTATATCTAAAAATGAATTGAATTAATTTATCTAAAATCTAATCTGATTTGATTTGTTGTAATTCCTACAAGTAAGCTTTAGTTAGAAACTCAAGAACCTTCAAAACAACTGATGTCATAAAATGAAACTTCTAATTAAAGTCTACTTAAGTTTAGAAGAAGCATTTCTATTAAAATATTTTTATAAATATTTTTATATACTATATTACAAGCATTCTAAATTATTTTTGATAAAATAATAATTTTCTTTTGCTAATTAATTTTCAATAATTATTAATTAAATTATTATAATTTTTTTAATTAAATTAATATATAGTTTTCAAAGATTGAAAATTATTATTATCTTATAATTAATATAATAAACAATAATAAAAATCATTTATTTTTTATAAAAAAAAAATAATATTTAAATATATTTATCTAAATATTAAAATAATAAAAAAATATTGTTGGAGTAATAATGACGAGTCTGTTGCTATGTCACAATCACTGATTGTGTAACATTGGAAGAGGCATGGAAATGTGACATGAGATAAGTAAAAGTGTTAGATAGTAATTTGAATTTTATGATAAAAGAATAGTTTTTATTGTTGCTTTGTCTCTTGTATATTTATCTCTTTATATATATGTAAAATTTCAAAAATTCCAAAAATCTCTCAAGTCCCAATAAATTCTAATTGGATGAGGATAACATATATTGAATTTATCTAATTTTTTTTGCCCTCTTACAATATACAGACTTTTTTAAAAAGTATTTTTATACTTTAAATTATTTATATATAATATATATATATATTTCAATTTCTTTTTATTAAAAATATGTAAATTTAAAAACTATTGTTAATTATTTAATAAAAAGAATATATTAATTTTATATATTATAATGAATTGTTGATTAAATGCTTCTAAATTATATTTTTATAATTTTTAAAAAATTTGAAAATATAAATAAATAATAAATAAAATATTGCATTAAAAATAAATACAATAATAAATAAATAAAAATAAATAAATAAATAATATCTATTGAAAAAATATTATAAAGGCTAGATTATAATTAAAAAAAAATCATTATACATTGTTTAAAAAATTTGAAAAATTTGAAAATATTGATATTAATATATTGTATATGTAATAAAGAAATTAACTTTTCTTAGTAAATATTTGTAGTATAGCTCAGCAATTTTCTATATAATATAGAAAATCATAAAAGTTTATCAAAACTTCTACTACTACTGATCATATCTAAGATATTGTTAAAGTGTAATGAATATAAAGCTTAAAGACATTTTGGGGTGCATTTTATACTGTAGTATATACTTTATTTATATATAAAATTGAAAAAAATTGTTAGTATTATATGAATAAATTATAGTATCATTAAATTTAGCAAAATTTGCATTGGAACTCAATAAAATTAATATGATCATGGTGAAAGGACCTCATTTAAGAAGGACATTCACATTAATATACAAATAGTATTCAAATATTTCATAACACGATAATTACAAGCATTATTTGTAGATTTTATAACATGATAACTGTATTTACAATTAGTAAATTTTTTTTATTATAGAACATTTTCGATTACATCAAGCAAGATATCAAACTTATAATATACGAGAAATCTGATCTGACCATCCAAGGCTTTGGATTTAATTAGGATTGAAACTATGAAAAACAAAATGAAACAATTTTAGTGGTATCTATAATGATTATTAATTCTGATTAAAATTAACACAATTTAAATCCTAAAGACAGATCTTAAGTATTTTTTTAACAGTTTCCATTTTACAAGTCTATATTTATAATGTTTTTTAATTAATATATTTTAATTATCCTTTCATGTTAATTATTGTTAGATTAATTATTTTTCTGTTTGGTTCAAAAAGTCCAAAAAAATTAGTTTATTAATTATCATATAAGGCCCTTTATTTTTTTCTTACTGCCAATAATTTTTTTAAAAAAGAATTTTTCTAATTAAAGGTCGAATAATTAAGATTTTTTTTTGTATATATACTGTACATATGTAAATACTGTATTAGCTATATATACAGTATATATATGCATAATATTAGCCAAAATTTTTTTTTTCGTATATATATGTGTATAAATATTTGCTAATTTTTTTTTTAACAACAGAAATCGTTAACCCCGAAGTTTTTAAATTATTTCAATTTAGAGATACTTATTTTTATTAAAAATTCAAATCAATTCGAATGTAATGATCAATATAATAAATTATTTTAAAGTTGAAATTTGATGCAATCAATTTACCTATTTATCATATTCACCAAAACAAAAATTAGAAAAATATTAATTGATAATAAATTTATATTTGCAAATGAAATCTTACCTGTGACCTACCTTCATCTCTAACCTCCCACCAAACCATACCTATAAAATTCATCAGTATATAGAAAATGAAATCCTACCTGTGACCTACCTGTACCCTCCCTCCATCCTTAACCTCCCACCAAACCATACTTACAAAATTCATCAGTATATAGAAAATGAAATCCTACCTGCAACCTACCTGTGCCCTCTCTCCATCCTTAACTACCCATCAAACCGTATCTACAAAATTCATTAGTATGTAGAAAATGAAATCCTACCTGCGATCTATCTGTACTTTCCTCCCATCCCTAACCTTCCCACCAAACCATACCTACAAAATTCATTAGTATATAGAAAATATAATCTTACCTACGACCTACCTGTACCCAACTTTCTACCAAACCATATCTACAAAATTTGTTAGTATATAGAAAATGAAATCCTACATGCGGCCTACCGTTGCCCTCCCCCCATCCTTAACTTTTCACCAAACTATATCTACAAAATTCATTAGTATATAGAAAATGAAATAAATTGATGCATGTAAAGAAGAGAAATTAGTGTTTTAGTAAATAAACAATAAAGTACAGTTTAAAAATAAACTCTTACCTTGTTTTCAAGTGTGCCCAAAATACTTGCAACTTGTGCTATGCGACTAAGTGAGAGAACTGAGGTTTGCCGAAGGAAATTACATAGGAAGGATTCGATAGTTGATCTTTTTTTCTTTTTCCTCGGATGCTCTATAAAAAGAGACACGTCAGCAAAGAGATCAAAAGCAACAAAGTTGATAAATCGCTTACTTGATTGGATCAAAATCTCTGACTTTACAATTCAATTTTCTGGGTCCAAATATGTATCGCCATATATAGTAGTAGTTAAACAAATGTCATATTCTTCATATATTTTTAGAGAATTTCTGTAGATGTCGCCAATATCTGGTAAATAATAAAAAATTCACAAAAAATCTTCTTTTCTTGAAACGTGAGACAAGATACTGTATTTACTGACTGTATTTATTACATACTTGTTACGTTACGTGATTTTTAGGTGACGTATGTAATAATCACTTTGATCACATGACAACTCAACATTATGTCACTCAGCAATTTTCACTCATTTGACTTTTCCCTAAAATTCTGATTTAAGCATGGCTTATACTGTACATGAAGTCTGTCTTCATCACGGAAATTGGATAATACAATATGACTTAAGTGCAAGAGCATTAACCGATTCATTCGGTTCAAGTTTCGGGCATTATGGACAAGTCGTGAATATACTTCAGAATGTGGGCTTTGTTCGCGTTTGATATAATGTATTCCGCCATAGGCATGGTTGTCATTTTCAGGATGCAATACAAACCGTGGGTATTATCAGATTATTACCATGGGCAGGTGGTATCTCTTCAAATAGGTCCTTATATAAGAAGCATTCAGGTTTCAATCCAGGTTAAGCAACATATGGATTTGACGAATTATGCTCGTATTCCACATTTTGATAAAAGAACTTGAACGGAAATTAAGAGAAAAAGCTATGACCATTCTTGACATACTATATGTATCACAGTTTGAGAGAAATGTAGCGAATCCGTTATTTTCTCTACAAATCCACGAACAATAACATGCTTTTTGAGCTTTATATTGTTGATATCCTGTTGAGATTTAAATTTGGATTAAAATAAAATCGTGAAGATCTTGACATTTTTTAGAGGATATGCTAATACGGTACCATATTTCTATTCTGGAAATTAGAGAATCAATCTTATTTGTCAGAATATAAAGCAACTGAGCTTGTACGAGACAAACAAAAGGAAATAAAAGGATGTTAACTTCGATAATCTTTATGAAGTTGCAACATTTTGACATTTCTTTCTTTATTCTCCAGGTGAAATCGAGTGAAGCATTGAATTCATGAAGAATATTTGGACGAGAACTCCGAAGAATACGATACTTTGCGCAAGGATGTGAAAGGATCTTGGAAATGATTTTCGGTTTGTCAAAGGATAAGGCATTGTGGAAAAATCGCCTTCAAATAAACGAACTGGATACCGAACAAAAATATAATTGTGTATAAAAGCTAGTGTTCCGAATGAGTCGGGTCAACCCGAAACTCAACTCAAACTCAACCCAAAATTTCAATTTGAGACAGTATTGCCAAATTTATTCAATACATCAATACTGTACAAGGTCAACTCTCGATTTTTAGCGGAACGGATTTTCGTATCACAACTGCTATAATTATACATATTGGTCCATAATTGATTTGATTATAAGAAAATCTGTTTCACTAAAAATTTTTTTATATGCATGTTTCGAATTATAATTTTACTTTAAAATTTTAATATACAGTACTTACAAACAATTATTTGTTTTGTAATGATACTGGAGTTTTTTTTTTTAATACATGCATGCGCGTTTATGGGATTCTGTGCATTTCCAAATTTCGGAACCTTGAAAATCCGCAATATTTAATTTAAAAAATTCAAATATTATTTCATGAATTGGTACAATTTCAAATTTGCGGAAAATTAATGGTTGTTTTATTTCCTTTCAAAGGCTATAAATTATGAAGACATCGCATTTATAGTTGACAACATTCAATATTGCCATATAAAATAAAATTTTTTTTAAAATTTATGTAATGACGTGAGTTAGGCGAGTTTTCCACCATCAAGGATTTGAATAATATCAAGTTCTTGGTCAACCAAAACATCGACATTTCCAGGAGCAGTCCCTGAGAAAGGCTTGGTACCGGGTAGGTCGATTACTATGCCCAATTGTTCAAAGGTTTTGTATAAGTATCCAATTGCAATAGCATATACTGTAGGATCATCGACCGTGAGTCCTTTCGTGATTTGACCAGAAACCGTGACATTTTCGGCGCTAGTTTGTTCGAATGTGATCGTACCACCGAGTTTGTCTAAGGTAATGCTCACTTTTTTGCCAACTTCGGCACGACGAATAGGGGATGCGTGAATACTGAATACAAGTAGAGAAAGGGCCAGTAAGGTGATGAAAAGGATACGTTTTAGAGACATTTTTAAGAAATTTTTTTGGAAAAAATTAGGCTGTTTGTAATTGATTTTTTTCCCTCAAGAACACACAAGTCAGTTCTTTTATATTTATTTTTTCTGAGCTATTTCTAATTTATATTCTTTTTGCGCTCAACCTAATGGACCCACATGAATATTAAATTTTTGATAATCATTTAAACATGAAAGGAACGCTTCAATCTGAATGATGTTCGGCAAAAACGAAATTCTCGGAAAACTTCTTCCGTGATCATGCGAAAGTAATCTCTCGTACCTGTCGATACATTATGAGAAACAATTAAGGTTATATATTCCTTTCATTATATATGACTTTCTCTCATGTAATGCATTAACTTTAATTAAAAATTACCAAGACATTCTTAATAATAAAGTCAAAAACATATGCACCGACTCGGAAAAGAAAATCATTTTGTCTGACGGAGATTTTAATTTGCTAATTCCATTCAATTTATCACATCGTTTTGTTAAAGCTAAGGTTCGACGATCTTTAAACGTTTTCGATTTTCATCATGTGATGTTAAATAAATAATAAACTAATTTTTAGTCATCTTGTTTTTTTATTATATGAAATATGGGAAAATCTGAAATCCAAGAAACGTAAAATTTATTATAATCCTGATTTAAAGAACTAATGTTTTACTTTTTAAAACCAACCAAAACCCATCGATAGAGATTGTATCTAATTCCGAATAATTAACATCATCCATTTATTATTTATAATGAGACACCGAAGATTTTCTTTTAATAAATCTAATATAGGTCTGATAGTCTATCTTAAATATACAGTATTTCAATTTTTTAAAAAACAATAACTTTTTATATAAAAGATCTCTAAAAAAATGACTGGTAAATTTATAGAACATTGTTAATTCCATGAATGAACCATTTTAAAGATTACTATTGTTTGATATATATATTTAATATACAGTATATTGTGACAGGGAATCGGCTAGTCTGTCGCTAATCGGGAGCAGAATTCATGTAACCGTCACTTTATTTTAACAATCGAAACTTGACCGAATTCTCTGTCTTTATTTGATACTTTCTTAGGCTTTTTTACACATGTTTAACAACTATTTAGATGCAAACTTTTAGAGTGCAAAAGAAAAAGATCGAAATTGGTGGAACTTTTGTAGCTATTAAAGGTAGTGATTCTAAATTACATAATATTTTTTCCATTGTTCGTCATTAATTAATCATCATCTGCAGGTTTATGTTTCGCGATCTTCGGTTAAGGCTGGTCATGTGACTATAGTCTTTAATTCAATCGATAAATAATTTTAAAAATATTAATTCATTAAAAGTTAAAATATTTTAAAGTTATACTTTTTTTTATTAATAATGTTATTATTTCTTTAAACTCAATAGCTACAGTAATTAATTATATATTATTAATTATAAAACATGGTTATTTACAGAGGTTCAAAAACTAATTTTGATATCAAATTTAGTATTAAAAACGTTGAATATTAAGAATATTTTGATTTATTGCAAAACAAGTATTGCAATACTTTGCATCAAAATGTCAAGTAATTATCTTTTTTTCTAAAACAAACATAATATATTTTTACTAAATGTTAAACCATCAGATTGAAATTAATATAATTAATTATATATAATAGTTAATTTTTTTTGTATTTTAGTAAAATATTGTTTATATTTTTATTTGAGGTGTGATTTGATACACTTACTGCTTAACTTTTTACTCGTTGATAATATAGTTTCTATACTTTTACATGAGATATGACTCAATATATTCAACTTACTGTCTAATCTATTGTTTATTAACATGAAACTCTTTATAAGTAAAATATGCCTTAATACGTTTAACTCATTGATTAACCTGTTGTTTGTTAATAGGGAACTTTCTATTTTACTTATGCCTTGATGTGCTTATTTTGCTTACTTCATTATTAGGTAATGTCTCATTATCATTATCTGTAAGAAATAAAGTTGATTTTATTATGGATTATCATACACAATTAAATTGGAATTGACCTGAATGCGTTAGCTTCATTTTGTTCTAAATCAATTATTGGTTTTTTCACATATTAAATGAAAAAAAAGTCTTTTCGCGATCATTTTTTGTGTCATGTTACCTGTAAAAAGAAATGTAATGATCCTAGAGATCGTCTCGGATTATTCTTTTATAGGATCTAATCCTATACGATCATCCTAATAACGAAATGACTGATTAACATCCCAAATTTTTAGTATGATCATGCAGTTATGATGTTATACCGATAGTGTCGATCAGTAACTCGCGTAGTTAAAGCACATTTGCTTGTCCTGGTAGCAGGGTTTTAGTTGCTTTTTATCATTCATGCGGCACCCTTACGGCACTTGTGCATCACCTCTGCAGGTGCGTTTACAATGATTTCGAGTGAAATTTCCGTACCATAGTAATTTATGTTGTTTTACGGATTTTGTTTCCGGTATATGGAAATTCGAAAGCCGGAAATAAAAATCGAAAATCAAAAAAAAATAAAGCAAATAAAAATACAATTAAAAAACAAAATAAAGAGATAAAATTTTAACATGTTGCTAGAATATATGACAAGTTTTTATGTCAGTGCTTTATATATTTAAGATTTATGGTAAATTATTTTTTATCTACTTCTCTTCGTTCTTGCTTTGTGAGATAACATGCTACATGTGCCAATGTTTATAAGCCAAGTACATGTATAATCGCGTTAATATTATCAATATTTCTGACATAATCAAACGTAATACATATAGTTTGTAGTTTAATATGTCAGAAACTAAAAGTAAATTTGAAAGCCGAGAAAAATCAATGCGACATTGATGGTGAGATACAATATGATTACTGTTTTAGAGCCTCATATACAATTCACGCCTTGCAAGTAAGTATATATCTTTGTGAAATGTCTCTTATATCTTAATTTTTAACTTTATTCCTTATTGATACACACTACAGGGAATTTGATCCTGAATTCACATTGGTTACAGAGAGTTGATTACGATCTAAAAATGATTGGTTCCGTTTATAAGGTAAATATTCAATAAATACTTTCTAACTTTTGTTTTGGGAAACATGGTAAATATGTAATTGATCACATTGGATTTTAACTTTGAAAAGGCACAATTTAAGTAACACCGACATTATTTTATTTCCTGCCAAAGCTGTTTTAGAGCCTGATAGATATGAATCCAATAAATAATAGTTACATTTTCTTATTCATTTATTTTTAATTCATTCATTCTTAATTCATTCATTCTTAAGCATTATCTCATTTTTTTATATAGTGACATTTCCGCGGAAGAGTGGGTATATTAAAAAAAAAAAAAAAAAAACTACGTCACTGGTTAATATTCGTTTTTCAATGATGCACAATTTAACAAATCTTTGTTTGCTTAGGTTATAATTGTCAGGATGATCTCCGTATACATATGAGTAATTCTTTTTGAAGGCGGACAGGGATTTTTCTGACTTTATAATTGTACCCCTAGAATTTATATTGTATATTTATTGTTCAAAAAATAGTGATCAAAATATCGTATATAACATTTTTGTCGTTTTCAAAAAGAATCAGCCATATGTAATCAAATTCGAGGAACTTCATACATAATCTCTCAGAATGGACACTTTCAAGTATTTATATTGTTGGCATAAAAATTGCGGGGACCGGCGCGGTGCGGCGTGGGGCGTCGATCATGCATCAATCATGCATGATTGATGGGCGCAGAGCTTGTAGAAGTTTGATAATTTTGCATGACGCGACGATAATTAGGGAGACACGTTGCAATAGTATAAATATCATATGTACCCAGAATAGAAATATACACAAGTTAATTAATAAAATATTATTAATTGTAAAAACCGATTGTTTGTGCTAGTACAATGATAATCAATAAACTTACTTTATTTGTCGTCCTGTCGTCTTAGAGAATCCGAAGATCCCACGGATTGGCAGCAAAGGATTGAGAAGAGGAAGCTGACCTAAGCAAAAGGAAATATTAGGATAATCTTCACCACAAGTACCTTTGGTATCGCCAGCAATAAAAACCCAACGTTACACAAGTCTAGGTCCGGAGTAGTGACAAACTCGCCGTTGAGGATAACAATATATAAGAAAAATATTGAGTATAATTATCTCTATATATTAATTGTGCCAAACAATGTGCCGCAATATATGTAATTTGTTTTTCCTCTGTTTTCAACTCGACGACCTTTTGATATCTAGAATTGATGTAAATTTATTTTTCACTTGATGTTAATAGTTTTAACAATCTAAATGTTGCCTGTTATGGATAGAATGATCTGTTTTGGTCAAAAATCACTGTTCACGACTGGTGTAATAATAACTGTACTTAAAATGAACAGAAGTTAGTGTTTTAGTAATATAGATAGATAAATACAGAGGCCTATCATATTATTGTGGACACTTATTTTTTAAATAATAAAAAATTTTATTAATAAATAAATTTTAAAAATTTAATGATATATTTATATCTTATTAAGGTATAATCCATTATAATTTTATGTAATTTTATTTATTTATTCAAATTTTATGTTAAAAAAATTTCAACTTAATTTTTTTTTTTAAACCAAAGATAAAAAATAAATGTCCAGGACATTCAAAATTGCTTACCCCTTCTGACCATTTTAAACTTAAGAATCTAGTTATTAACAAAAATCGTCATTTAAACCTTTCTCAAATTACTAACCTTTTTATTGCTTAGAAAGGAATTAGCATCTCAAAATGTGTTATTTGTCGTGCACTGCATGAAGAAAGTTTAAATTTCTGTATTGCTTGTCCTAAGCTGTTAATCTCTTCAGAAAATGCAATCAAAAGACTTAACTGGTCTCTTGCCCATAAAAACTGGTCTGTTTGGCACTTTCAACATGTTTTGTGGTCGGATAAGACCACAATTTATCTTTTTTAAAAATGTTCTTGTCAGGTTTGACATGAGCCACACGAGAAATGGAATATTGAGTGTTTAAGTTACACTATTAAACATAGCCCTGGTCATATGTACTGGGATTGCTTTTCCTGATATGGAGTTGGACCTTTTATTCCATTAAAATTCTCTGCCACCAGTGCTTCACATATTGAAATTCTCCATAAGAATGTCTTACTTGCTATAAAAAAATTTCCAGGAAATGAGAATCATGATCACCAACTATTTCAGCAGGACAACGTGAGAACACACACTACTAAAATTGCAAAGGAATTTATGAAAAATAAAAATATTAGGGTAATAGACTGGCCTCTATAGAGTTCAGATCTGAACCCGATAGAGAACCTTTGAAATGAAGTTAAGAAATCCATACATCGTAAGCCAAAACTGAATAATCTTAACAATCTTGATGTTCTTGTATGACAGGCATGATGGGAGATACCACCTAAATATTGCCATAATCTTATTAAGAACATGTCAAATCAGGTTACTGCCTATATTGCAATTAAAGGAAAACCTACAAAATACTAAAAGCAAAAAAAAAAAGAAAAAAAAAAAAAAACTAATTTTGGTTTGATAGAAAAAAGTTAGATTAGAGTTTTTTTTTTATAAAATTTGAACAAATAAATAAAATTGCATGAAATTTAAATGGATTATACCTTAATATTATATAAATATATCATTAAATTTTTAAAATTTATTTATTAATAAAATTTTTTATTATTTAAAAAATAAAAGTGTCCACAATAATATGATAGGCCTCTGTAGATACAGTATATTTTATATATGTATATAATAAAATATTGTTTAAATTACATCGCTAGTAAACGATAAAAAATATATATCTTTCTAGAATATATTAAACACGTGATATAGTGTAAGGTGATTTCTATAATTCGGAAATTTTACATGAAATCATTATAAGCGCGCACCTGCATAGGTGACGCACAAGTGCAGTAAGGGTGCCGCACGAGTGAGCGGTCGAAAATAAAAACTAAAGTCTGTTTGTCCTGGTATAAAAAAATTTTTTTATTACGATATTTTTTACCTTATTGCGAAACTCGCAAAAATCACATGTAGCAAAATTATATTACTACAAATCGCCAGGATGTATAAATCTTGCGATATTTTAAAATGATAAGAATATTTTTTATTACAACCTTTCACGAAACTCGCTAAAATTACATGCACGTATAATTAGATTACTAAGAATCTCGAGGTATATATAAAATTTGTGAAATCACTTAAAAATATATTTTTAATATGATATTTTACCTTTGCACAAAACTTTTTTAAATCACATGCACGCATAATTAGATTAATACGGATCGCCGGTTCGATAAAGTGTAAACTTCAGTTACTAAATATATATATACTGTATATATAGTTTTGATATTTTTTACCTTGTTGCGAAACTCGCTAAATCACATGTACTTAATTACGACCCTAACACAGTGACTTTTTAAAGGACATATAATGTCTATATACGATATAAATTTTAGGGCCGTATCTATTTTCGGAATTTATATGTATAGTTGTAGAAATAATCGGGTTGGTAACGTGAAAATCAGGACGCGTCGCGTAATAATGAGAAATGATAGTAGAATGATGCTATAATGTGGCAATGGAATGAGCGGTCAATAAGGCATATAAATAGATAGTTTTACATAGTTAGTCAGATAATTAGTCACAGTTCGAGTTTAGCTTTTTTAGAGAATACTTTTGTTTTCTCGCGCTTTAAATATCTGTTACTTCATTTTGCATAACAAATACAAGTGATCCCAAAATTTATACACCCAAGCAAGTAGTTTAAAGACTAACGACGCTATAACTAAGTTACAGACTAAAGGAGAAACTGAGTTACCTTTTCCCGTGTAAAAAGTGACACTTGAAATCTTGAGACGCGTCTAGGGAAAGACGGTCGAGAAGAGATTAGCAAGTGCGATAAGGGCGGCCAAATTGTAACACGCATCGGAGTTAAAGCCTTACCTTGTTTATTGCATTAATCCAAGGGTTTTGGATTATGTATAAAGTAGGCATCGTGGGGGTGTAACAGCGAGTCAGTCGATAAGGAAGACAAAATTTCGCGTGACCGCGGATAGGGTGAGTAATACTTAAGGTGAAGGAGGCGTGTTTTGATTTGGTCGAGTAATTTATTATTATAATGGGTCTTGTTCCTTTATTAACGCTTGTCTTTTCCTTTTTATACATCTCTTTTTATTTACAGAGGCTAGTGCGGCTATACTTTAAGAACAATGATTAAGCTAAGTCTATATTACATAAGTTTCTTTTTCATAATCCCTTCTTTCTTTTCCCCGCATTAGATAATCGTGCACCGCCAACCAAGAACAGGTTCCTTGCGGTACCCGTCGCGACGATCAGTCACGCGATGAGCGTCGCGTCTCAACTTACCCCTTACAGCATGTACGTAGCACAGTATAATTAGAAAATTCAAATCTTATTTCATGTATTGGTACAATTTCAAGTTCGCGGAAAATTAATGGTTGTTTTGTTTTTTTTAAAGGTTACAACATATGAAGACATTGCATTTCTAATTGACAACACTATCAATATTGCCATATAAAATAAAAAAATTTTTTTTTTTAAAAAATAAAAATTTTGATTTTTAATATTTATGTAATGACGTTAGTTAAGCGAATTTTTTACCATAAAGGACTTGGAGTAATCTCAAGAGATTCGTCAACAAAATCATAGACATCTCCTGGGACAGTCACTTTGAAAGGCTTGATACCGGGTAGCTCGATTTCTATACTCAATTCTGCAAAGGTATTGTATTTGCTTTCAATTTCAATACCATAGGATCATTAACTGCGAGGCTTTCTGGATTTGAATAGAAACTACGATATTTTGGACGTCAGCTTGTTCGAATGTGATTGTAGCATCGAATTTGTCTAAGGTAACGCTCACACTTTTTTGCCAACTTCGGCACGACATGAATCATTCTTGAGAATTGCTTGGAACATTATGCTGTTGGTAACTGATCTTTTTCCTTTTATATTTATTTTTTTTTTGTGGTATTTCTAATTTATATTCTTTCTGCGTTCTCAACCTGATGGACCCCACATGAATGTTAATTTCAATCTGAATGATGTTCAGTAAAAACAAGTTCTCGGATAATCTCTCCTGCGATCTCGCGAAAGTAATCTCTCATACCTGTCGAACATGAGCAACGATTAAGATTATTACCAATAAAGTTCAACATGTATGCGATGTGGTGTGGGTGTATAACTGTGAATCGAAAAAATAATAGCTCGCCTAATTGATGAATGATTTATTCAAACTTCGAAATAAGATGTATAAGTGGATTAAAGCATTTAAAAGTTTTAATCTTATCGAATAAGACCCAATTCTTGAAGATGCTCTGGAATAACTATGAGAGTTAATTTTGTATTACCTGCGCAAAATGAATTCCATGCTTCAAAATATTTAATGTTACAGAATGGGCTATTCCAAATATGACCTTGATGGCATTTCCATATTATTGGGATGTCAGAATTTTTATATATAATTGAAAGAAAATTTCTATTTCAACTAAATAATAATTTGCTTAGCATATTCAAGATTAAGATGGATATTATTTGTGCAATATGAGTAGTGATTGGAACAACTCTATCAGTTCTGTTCTGGTTCTATGGAATGCTGTTTTAACAATGGATTTGGAACCAAGCAGTATTTCACAGAACCATTAAGAGTAGAGTTGAAACCAAGTAATGTTCTACAGAGTCACTCAATAAAATGATTTTAATAAATTATATTATATATGTTTGTAAATATCTTTTAACATTATTACTTAATAGTATCATAAGTAAAGATAGGATTAAATTGAAATCTATTTAACTTTAACATTGTTAAAAATTTTTGTTTTGTTTTTTTTTGTGGTAATATTATTAATTGTGAAGAATTGACTGATTGTTATAAAAAAACTTTATATTTTATTTGAAATTACAAATAAGTTCTAGATTACCTATATATGCTAGAGTATTAGAAGCAATATAGCTTTAGATGAATTAATAACTGGCAAGTTTTGTAATTACAATATTATAAAAAATAATTCAAGCAACAGAGAATGGTACTTTGCTTTATTTAACCTCATTTTTAATTATAAAGAGGTTTATTGTTTCAAATAATATATTGATAAAAAATTTTCTATTATTAAGAAGATTAATAACATCAGAAAATTTTTTAGAGAGTTATTTATCAATAATCAACCAATAATCGCTAGTAATCAATTATAATTAATCAATTACTAGCAATTATCAGTTGACTATCAATTAATATCAAAAAAAAAATTGTTTATAATCGATTAATATCAATATTGATATAAATCGTATTTTATTTGGTAAATAGATTTTGATTTTTAACAATAAAGGTTATGTATCGTTAAAAAACAATATAATTAATTTCAATAGTAATCAATTTTATTTGATTCCGTAGATTAAAATTAAAATATATAATTATTTACTAAATATTCATTTGTTTTATCAAATCTT